TGGTGGGACACACCGAGAGCCCAGGGGAGGTGCAAAAGCAGGAGGGGACAAAGGCACACGCCTTCCTGGGCACGCGTGACCTCGGGCAGGGCCAAGAGCAGCTGCTGACCTGGCTTTAGAGATGTCCCCAAGAGGTGGCGAGTCTCGTGCAGGCAAGTGGGTAAGAGTGACCCTTTGCTTTAGCAACACACATCGGATCTCTGGTCTGGAAGCTTTTCCTCCTGATTCCTCCCTTCTGCTGCTGGCGGAGCCGGCGCTGCCAGAGGCCATCCTCAGTGGGGACAGGGGTGCCATGATGAAGGCAGCTCCGCGTTAAACAGGAAGCTTGGACACCTCTTACCTCTTGTTGCCAGCCAGCACCTTCTGCAGTACCTCACAGCTCTGACGGGGTCCTTCCAAAGCATCCCAGAATTTGCCGGACACCTGTGATCCCGCAAACACTACGTGTGGTGGCTGTGACACCCACAGCTGGTCACCGCACATCCCTTGCCTTCCCTTTCTCCCCTGCCCAGGGGCACAGCTGGCTCCTTCTTCCCCTGGCTCCTTGTCCATGTCCTGCTCTCTGCCCCCTTCCGCAGACCTGCCCCGTGCTGCAGCACCTGGACATGGGACAACTCATCCATGGGTGGGAGCACTAATGAGAACAGCACTAACGATGTGAAAACAAGACATTCCCAGCATATGCCACAGCAGCTTTGCTGAGCAGGGATTTGCTCTGCACCTTATTTCGCTCTAGTTTCCTCTTGTTTGGAGAAATCCGTTGCCTCTCTGTGTGTGGGAGACGCTGCAGGTCCTTCTTTCCAGGATTTTCCTTGCTTTCTCCAGGATTTGCTCATTCCTGGCCAAAGCCTTTGCTCTGCTTGGTCTTGGGTGGGCCCTGGGAGCTTAGGGGAGACTCAGGGCTCCCCATGTCAGGTGTATGAGGCGGGCTGGGAAGGAGGCGGCTTTTTGGGGCAGTTGGTGTGGGTTGTGGCTGCTGGCTCTGACTCGAGGAGTGCTCGGCCTGCGGACACGAAAGGGCTGCAGACAACTGCCTGCTCTAGTGGGGTCGGTCTCTTCTCCCAAGTGACAAGTGACAGAACAAGAGGAACCGGCCTTACGTTGTGCCAGGGGAGGTTCAGGTTGGATATTGGGGAATATTTCTTCCCAGAAAGGGCTGTCAGGCATTGGAAGGGGCTGCCCAGGGAGGGGAGAGTCACCATCCCGGCGGGGATTTAAGAGCCGGGAGGACGAGGTGCTCAGGGACATGGGTTAGTGGGGGTGTGAGCAGTGCGGGGTTAACGGTGGGACTCGATGATCTTAAAGGTCTTTTCCCACCAGACCAATTCTATGATTCTCACAGGGACCTGCAAGAAACCTCCAGCCCGGGATGTCCCCAAACTCCTTTGAAAGGCACTGCTGGGCATAGATGTGGGGAGACACCTCCTGCCCAGTGTCCTGCCAGGGCAGACAGGGCTCTTCCTCACCAAAGCGCTTCATGTTGTCACTGAGCATCCTTGCAGAGCCACTGTCTCAGTGCCAGAGGAGGTGGCATCACCTCCTCCCTGCAGCCCCCAGGACAGACGATGCTGGCACTGGGGCCTCTCCGGGAGCCCCATCCCTGGTCCTTGGGGCTTTCAGCAGTGAGGGGCTGTGTGGACACACGGACGGGCTCTGTAGGGGTCTGGCATCTGCCTTGCTGTCACCCGGCTAGGTCTGCGCAGGGGAGCCAAGAAATCTCTTAACTAAATAAACAGCTCTTGTCCCAGATGGCATCTGTTTGTGTGCCAGGTACAAACAGTCCCCACGGCTGACCTGCTCGCAGCCCAGCCAGTTCTTCCCACAAAACAGCAGTCCCCGAGGGCCGGCAGTGCCACGCGCTGGGAAGGCAGAGCCACACGCTGCCCCAGCACAGGCACCACGGGAGACTGGGGTGTCTGCACTGCTGCAGCACTGCCCTGGCCCTGAGAGGGTCCAGATGTTACAGCTGCATCTCCCAGAGGCATCTTCTTTCCCTGAAGTGCCCCTAGCAAAGGTGACATTCACAGCGTCAACCCCTCGCCCTGGTGCTTCCTCCTCCTGCAGCCAGCACCGCCATCAGGTCACCAGCATCGCTGTGGTCAAGCCGAGGACTCCCAGATTAATCCCGCAGCTGTAGATCTGAGCCTGACCTGACCTTGGCTCCACGGCCAGGCCACCAGCATTTCAGCATGTCACCCTCTGCTCATCTCCGGACAGAAACCCACGGCGCTGGCTGGCACACCACGCCGAGGCATGCTGCCAAACCCAGGAAGGGCCAGGAGCTGCGTGATCCCGGCTACGAAGCAGGGAGAAGGAGATTTAAACTGCCAAGCCCTGATGCTGACCGTATGGATCCTCCTCTGCACAGCAAACCCGGTCCCAAGGTCCAGGGTTCACCTGACGTACGTTCAGCCTTGGCTCCTCTCCGTTGGGAGTGGAGGTGTCTCGTAGCTGGTGTTCGGGAAGAAGAATCCTGCCTGGTGCCCTGCTCTTGCTGCATTGCTGTAACAAAGTCTTGGTCCTGTGCCTGCCTCTCTCCAGGCACAGGAGAAAGCAGATACGGTGCTGTGAGAACAAGGCTGGAGGAACAACCCGACAGGCTGGAAGGCCGCGTGCACTGAGCTGCAATCAAAGGCTTTGGTTGCAGAAGCAGACCATGTCGTGACGATGGGGACAGGAGACTCTCCCAGCCCCATCACCTGTGGGTGAGGCTGCGACGAGGCCTTTGCTGTGTCCTGAGCTGCCGGTGCTGGCTGTGGTCAGAAGCGAAGCACGGGACAGGCTATGCCAGGGAGGGGTTCAGGTGCTTGACCAAAATACCAGAAACTACACAAAAAAGGGATCAGCTGACAAGAGGTGAACGATCAAGTGGCCCCAAAGCATGAAGGTAAAGAGGAAAATCCTTTTCTGGCAGAGGTAGTTTGTAAGAAAATGGCCATCCAGCCTCGGGGCTGCATCCCTCTGCACGCAGGGAGGATGTGGTCGCTGCCTGAAGGTCAGCGGTGAAGAGCCGAAGGCCGGACTGAGCTCCTCCTGCCCATCAAAGCCCCGTGAACACAACAGCGGCATCATGACACGCTCAAACGCCGAGGCAGATGTTGCTTCTGAAGAGTGACTGTACAAGGAGGCAGACAGAGCCGAAGCACTGATGTTTGCCAGCCCGCTGAGGACAGCGCGGGCATCTTGGCTGGCCTGGAGATAAGGAACTCGGGAGGTGCAGGGCACTGCTGCAAGGCTTGGCACAGAGACGGAGAGACCCCCGCGGCCCAGGGGCCAGCTGCAGTGACACTGGTGTCCCCAACGCAGGCACCGTCCTTCCCCGAGATCGGCCCCGTTAAGCCCTTCCCTCCTGCAATGCCTTTGGAAGAAGGTGTGCTGGGAAACGCGCCGGGCGTTGGAAAGCCATGAACGCCATGTCCCCGTTTCCTTGGTTTTCTGCAGGGAGCTCGAAAATGTCAACTTACATTAGAAGGAGGCTGGTTTCAGAGAGCCCAGGGCTGGGTGTGACTTCTGGATCAGCGGTGTCCTGTGTCGCTGGGGCTGGGGACACTCCCAGCTTGCGCACATGACCAGGCCAGCAAGGAAGGAGTGTTGGGCTCTGGACCGGGCAAAGCCGCAGAGCATCCAGCTAGAAACCGTTTAGGAAAGCTGGAACCTGGGGTTCACAGGGGCACAGGCACTAGGTCCATCCCTGGTTAAAAGGTGATTAGAAAGAGGATAACAAAGGGTGATCAATAAGAGGACAGCTCCTGGGAGGTTTGGTAGGAAGGGGTCTGCATCCTGCAGCTCATTAGCTCTGTTCCCTGGGGATGAAGGAGGGAATCCTTCAGGCCTCTGGAGCCCTTTGGGAAGGGACAGGAGGCAGGAAGAGAGCAGAGATGCCTTGGGGAGCTGCAGCAGGACCTCGGCACGCCTGGGTCCTGCAGGCTCTGCCGCCTTTGGAGCAGTTGGACGCTGAGCCCTTCCCTGGACAGGGACCTCGGCTGGGTTAGACGCTCCTCTCCCAAAGCCCGGGGTGGGAACATGCCGGGGTAAGTCACGCAGGTGAGGTGGATGAGACTTGGGGCTAAGCAGTCACCATTTGGAGCAGGTCGCTTACCTCCCTGCAGAGTCCTGGACTGTCCCCTGGCACGGCACAGACCCGGCACTGGCTGTCCTCGTGCTCCCCTGTGACCCCTCCCTGGTGCCTCCTGGGGACCCTGCACCATGCTCCCACCAGGTTCCTGTCCCAAAAGCCTGGTTTAGGGCAGCCGTGGTCTGAGACCTCCCTGAGCTCGGACTGTCCGGCATCCTCCTGCACCTCTCGCCCGGCTGCGGTGCTGCCCCACTGCTCCTGCGTGCCAGAGGCGCAGGGTGGGTGACGGTGAGGCTGGGTGGCGAGTCTGGAGGCCGACAGCGTCTGTCTCCGTAACGCCGTGGTGTTTTTCTCTTGTCAGGAAAGCAGGGCGAGCGAGAAGAATAAGGGAGCCAAGAATGAAGAAGAAAAGGAAAAGGAAGCTCCTTCCAAAGACCTGGCCCGGAAACGAGATACAAAAGTGGGGAAGGACTCTAAAAAGGAAGAAAGTGTTCAGAAAACAGACCCAAAAGTTAAAGCTGAGGCTGAGACCAAGAGCAAAGAGGAGAAGGGTATCAACGATAAAGTCAAGGCCATGGAGAAAAAGCTGATGGGGAAGGACAAAAAGGAGGAAGAGAAGGGCTCGGCGTTGAAGAAGGACACGAGGAAGGATAAAAAGGAGGAAGAAAAGGACTCGGCATTAAAGAAGGATGCAGGGAAGGATAAAAAGGAGGAAGAAAAGGGCTCAGCGTTACAGAAGGATGGAGGGAAGGCTAAGAAGGAAGAAGGGAAGGGCTCAGCAGCAAAGGAGGAGGCAGAGAAGGGCAAAAAGGAAGAAGAAAAGGGTTCTGCGTTGAAGAAGGGCACAGGGAAGGACAAAAAGGAGGAAGAAAAGTGTTCCGGATCAAAGAAAGAGGCAGAAAAAGACACAAAGGGAGAAGATAAGACGGAAAAAGATAAAAAAGAAGAGGAAAAGAGTTCAGCTTTGAAAAAATCCAAGGCAGATGAGAAGGAGAAATCCCAGCCAGGGGCAAAAAAGGCAGCGGAGGAGAAAGAGGAGGCCAAGGCAGCGGCCGAGAGCAGCCCCTCCAAGCCCACCGCCGGCAGCTCCCCGGATCAGGCCAAGGATGACGAAGCCTCCAGCATTTTTGATGAGCTCATCGAGAAGGTGAAGAACAACGACGCCGAGGTCACGGAAGTGAACGTCAACAACTCAGACTGCATCAACAACGAGACGCTGGTGCGCTTCACCGAGGCCCTGGAGTTCAACACCGTGGTCAAGCTGTTCGCCTTGGCCAACACGCGTGCCGACGACCACGTGGCCTTCGCCATCGCCATCATGCTCAAGTCCAACAAGGTGCTGACGAGCATCAACCTGGACTCCAACCACATCACGGGCAAGGGCATCCTGGCCATTTTCCGGGCGCTGCTGCAGAACAACACGCTGACGGAACTGCGTTTCCACAACCAGCGGCACATCTGTGGCGGGAAGACGGAGATGGAGATTGCCAAGCTCCTGAAGGAGAACACCACGCTCCTGAAGCTGGGCTACCACTTCGAGCTGGCCGGACCACGCATGACGGTCACCAACCTGCTGAGCCGGAACATGGACAAGCAGAGGCAGAAACGCCTCCAGGAGCAGAAACTGGCACAGGAGCGTGGGGAGAAGAAAGACCTCCTGGAGGTGCCCAAGCCCGGAGCCCTGCCAAAAG